GTGACCAGATATGCAAGTTGTCACCAGACAGGAAATGAACCGATGTCTGTTCCTTCGTCCCAGTCCCGGCCCTTGGGTAAGGCCAACTGCAGAGTTCACTTTGGTGGGGGTGACTTGGTGAGTGTGTGGGTGGGAGGGGTCTGAGAGTCCATGCATGCCTGTTTTTGGTCATCCGTTTACGTGTGTCTGTGGCTCTGAGTTCTGGCGAGAGAGAGTGGACATCGGTGCATGTGGGTAAGACTGCGTCTGCCCAAGTGCCTCTTGGTCTACCTGGGCTGCGGTTTCCTCCTTTATCTTGCGTATTTCTGCCCACACTGCTGAAGATGCACATCGGTGTGCAGGCCTGTCCCACCCTAGGTGCCCATCTCATCGTGTTGAGTCCATGACACTGTGGGATTTCTGTCTGTGCTGACTCCCCTTGTCTTCCCTTTCTGGAAAGTATTCAATCAGTGAGCAATGGGGGAGGAAACCAAACCCACTCCCATCTGGCATGTGACTTTTGTCTAGACAAGTCGATTTGCTGTGACAGGATCTACCTCAACAGACCCAAGTAAAGGTGCTCAGCGGTCACAGCCTGTTGCCCAAGGCTCTGCCGTGACTGAACCAGCAATCTAGAGTAACCCACTGCACCAGCAGCAGTTACTACAAAGTCAGTTGTGCCATAGACTCTCTGGGTGAAAAGGTCATGGAGCTACAGCGCCTCTAAGTTCAATTCACAGATGAGAAACCTAGGCTCAGAGGGGAAGTGTCTGGCCCAAGGCCACAAGTTAATTCATCACTCACCACTTACCCAATGCTTATCAAGCACATATTGTGTGTCGGCCTCTGTACTAGGCACTGAGAATAAATAACCAGAAGATAAAGCCATGGATTCTGCTACCAAGGCTCCCAAAATCTAGTAGGGGAGACTAGACATTATGAGCAGGCAGTGGATAGGACAGGTCTAAAGCCATGGCAGAAAGAATGTGCAAAGGGCCATAGGAGCACTGGAAGAAAGTGAGGCAGTACTATCTTCAGGGACTGGGGGATGTGTAGAAAGCTGAACAACATCCCCCCAAAGATGCCCACATCCTAATCCCCAGAATAGTTAATGATGTTACCATACATGACAAAATGGATTTTGCAGATGAGATTAAGGTATGGATCTTGAGATGGAGAGATGATCCTGGATCATCAAGGTGATAAGAAGGGGCCTTGTAACAGGGGGCAGAAGGATTAGAGTCATAGACCAAGAAGTGATAGCAGAACTAGAGATGAGAGAGAGAGAGAGAGAGAGAGAGAGAGAGAGAGAGAGAGAGAGAGATCTGAGGATTCTATGCTGCTGGTTTAGGAAGGAGAAGGAAGGGGCCACGAGCCAAGGAATGCAGGAAGGTCCAGAAAGCTAGGAAATGCAAAGAAACAGATTTCCCCTGAAGTCTCCAGAGAGAATGTAGTCCTGCCAGCCCACCTTGATTTTAGGCCACTGAGGCCCATTTCTGACTTCTAACCTCCAGAATTGTAAGAAAATAAATCTATGTTGTTTTAAGTCACTAAGTTTGTGGTGATTTGTTACAGCAACCACAGAAGGTTTTGTCAAAGGAGAAGCAAAACTAGAACTACACTCCATCAAAGGGAACCGCTCTCTAAGATGAGAACTTAGGGGGTTGGAAAACGTCAAGAGATTTGGCATGCCGGGAGGGGAAGGGATGGCGAGGAGGGGAGAGTCGGCCCTTCGAAACCTGGGTCTTGAAGCGCTGACTCTGTGCTAGGCTGCTTGGGATCACCTACAGCTTCTCCATCTTCTCTCGGAGTAAATGAGCTCTCCCTAAATGTCACACCTCGGTGAACAGGGAGGCCATAGAGGCTCAGCTCAGGAGAACCTGCTGGCAGAACAGAAAATGGGTTCTGCAATTCTTGATACCCCACGCAGTGGTTTTGTATCATATTGGGCTTGTTCTTTCTTGATCTTCCTATCTTCAGGTGATGTCTCTATGCTTCAAGAACCATTCAACACAGCCACATTCATGAGTAAGAAGAGAGGTGACTTTTTCTAGGAATCACCAGGACAGCAACCCTTTTTCTTGGGAGAAAGTTCTGCTACGTGGCACAAGCAGAGCCAAGGCCACAGACTTCTGCCTGGACTGTGAGAGCGACCCTACACAACTTGGGGAAAGTCCCTGATAAAGGTGCAATACCATGAGGTCAATCTCTTCATCATCCTCACAATTCTCTCTCCCGGTACCCAGTGTCCTCATCAGATGGTCTCTGGGTTTCCATGCCTCCTCATAGAGCTTCCTGTCTCTGGCTCAATCCAGGGTCCTGAACTTTATTTCTGTCTTCCTCACAATCAAACCTAGAACAAAAGAATCCTGGGATCCTCCTATCCAAAGGGACATACTGCCTGCTTTTCTCCCAGCTGAGCATTCCCAAACTTTTATGCTGGGAAACCACAGCTCCCGGACACTTCCTTGTCCTGGCCTCTTGACACTTCAATGAAATCAATCTCTCAGTACTGTGATTCCAAGTCATTTGGGACCATGAGGTCCTACGGAGCACCAGGTTGCGTGTTTGGCATTTGGAGAAAAACAATACATGATACTGAGTCCACGTTCTCTCATTTTCACAGCTGAGAGGGCAAAAAGGAAGGGAAGATATCTATCACCCTTGCCAAACTACTTTTACCTTGTAAAACAGGTTTTCAAACTCAAAGCAACACCAGTATCAGCCCAAAGGGTTGGGAAGGACCTTGTGACACAGTTTTGAAGCAGCTGTCTGTGCAGCTTCTGCCTTGGGTTAACTCCGGCAGCCTTCAGCTTCAGGGACTTCCTCTCCTTACAGAGTACAGACAGCACAGCTGTGAGTTAGTTAGACTCCTGGGGTGGCCATCTACTAGCTCTTTGACCTTGGATGACTTAAGGCATCTCTGAGCCCAAGTTACTTCTGTAAAATGGCTATAGTAAAGTGGCTTCATGTGGCTGAAACAAGTCGATGGGTAAAGCATCTAGAATGTGCCAGCACAGAGTAGATCCTTTAAAAATGCCTGGACCTAATTCCTGTCCAGTGCCAGAGTCAGCGAGAGCCAAACAACACACATCAGAACCCTCATTGCACTTCTTGAAAATAAGCCTTGGTCCTCCCGAACACTCTAAATGCTCTAGGATATAAAAGAGAGGAAGGCTAAGAAAGATCCCCCACCTTTTAATTTTTTAATTGGGGGTGCAGGAGACTCCAATTAGGACAGTGGCGCCAAGAAGGAAACACAACAGCAGACCCTGACGGGCTGTCCTCCTGCTGAGAGCAAAGCTCAGAAGGGCACAGTCAGCAAAGGGTTACCCTTCAGTGCAAACACCCATCCCCCACTGTCACCTCACATTAAAGAGCCAGGCACCAGAGAACAAGCTGGTCAGTGGCAGCTGCTCTCATTAACGGTTTGCTCCCCCAATTTCACTCCCTTTTGGCCTTTACTTTAAAAAAGAAAAAGAAAGCAAGGAAGAAAGCCATCACAACCGCCAGTCCCTTAGGGTAGGACTCCATGTCCAAGGCCGGCAGGCAATTCAGATGCTCCTCCCTTCTCAGTGCCCACTCCGTGCCCCATCTCTCTTCTTGACTGCTGCACACTGAAGTCAGTCCTCACCTGCCCGCTGAAGCCCCTGCACATGTCACTACTACAGCCCTCCCACCCCCAGTTGCACTGTAACCCCTGTGCTTGGCCAGGACTTGCAAGCAGCAAGAATGGGATTTGCCTTGGGAACAAGGGCTGAGCCTTATTCACCGCTCTCTATGCCTTCAAGAAAATGCTCCCTACAGTGTTCTCAGGAAAAGTTAGATCAACCAATTGATTTTGGCTTTTTGCTTATTAAGCACACATTTACCTACTCTGAGCTAGGAACCCCTAGAGGCCTTGGTAAGATGGATAGAGTAACATATATGTTGCATACAGTCCCTGCCCCTTACAGCCTGAAGGGTGATGCCCATCAACAATTTCTTCTTTTTTTTTTTTTTAGAGTTGGAGTCTCACTCTGTCGCCCAGAAGTGCTATTACAGAGGAGCCGGGGCGAGAGGTTGTGGAGAAAGACATGGGCCCACAGCCAGCATAGAAACCAGGAAAGGCTAAGAAGCTAGCTTAGAGCTCTCTATTGTTCGTGATTCTTACTGTGAATGAGCAAGAACAATACTAACAATACAACCTGCATGTGTGGTGCTTAAACATCCAGCCATTATTGTAGTCTGGGATTCCTGCTGGACTGGGGTGAGCTTCTCTGAGTAGGGCCCAGGAAGGCACAGCATGCTTAGTCATGTTTGCTGAATAAGCCCCCCAGACTTTCAGCAGGCAGGAAGAGCAGCACATACTGATGGAGACTCAAAGAGGTGGTGTGCCTCATCCCACTTTCACTGGGAGTCAGAGATGAAATACATGAAAAGGTAACCCACCCATCTGTGGAACAAATTAGCACATGGCCCACCCCAAGGTGGGAAATTGATGTGCAACGGAAAAGCTTAGCCTTCAGCAAACCTCCTCATCTCCAGACAACACTTTAGGGTGTGACTAAGTCACCCCAAAGGTCACACAGGGAAGGGTGGATGTTTCCCAAGAGGCCGAGAAGTCCCACAACACACTAAGTGTCCACCAGAACAGCATGTGAGTACTCGAGTCAGGAGTCTTCAACTCTGCTGCTAAGTTAACATGTGACCTGGGGTAAGTTTCTTCCCTAAATTTCCCCATCTACAGCGTGAGCAAGTTGGACAATATCTAAGATCTCTTCCAATTGCAACATTCTGTGGCAAACCTTCTGTGTTGCTGGAGAAGGGGATTTACAGACCCTATCGGATCAAAATTTCAGCTAGGCAGAAGCAGGAAGGAATTATCATTTTACTGAAGGGGTCCTAGGGTGGGGTGGCTCTTCCGACACCAACTAGAGAGCAGGAACGAGGAGGATTCTAGCTTCAGTCACTGAGCTAGAAACGTTTAACCAACAACAGTCCAGGTTCTGCTTGTAGACTGAGGACAAGAGGCTACTTACTATGCAGCAGGCCACCAGGGCTCCTTGAGCAAATCCTGCCAGGACGTCGCTGGGATGGTGCTTGTGGTCCGATACACGGGACAGTCCCGTGTAGAAGGCCATCATGATCAAGGTGAATTGCAGGAGGGGCCGGAGCAGGCGGGCACCGCGCCAAGTGAAGCGGGCCTGAAGGTAGAGCTGGAGGGAGGAGACAAAATGAACAGACACTAAGTGACTCCCCATGTACATGGATTACAACCCTGGGCCAACACACACTACGTGTTATCTGCTAAATAGAGCCATCTGGATCTTGGGCAGCATGTTGTAGATAGAGCGTTCCATCTGGACACGACCTTAAGCCTTAGTTCTCACACTAAAAAATAAGAAAGATAAACTAGGGAAAGCTGAGCAAAATAATAAATATAAATGGCCTTAGCACCCTCCTTGGCACATAATAGGTACTTCATAAATGATAGCTTTCTTTTCTCTTCTTCTTTTCCTTCTTTCTTTTTTTAAGAGACAGTCTCACTCTGTTGTCAAGGCCAGAGTGCAGTGGCGCCATCTTGGCTCACTGCGTCCTCAAACTCCTGGGCTCATGCGATTTCCCTGCCTCAACCTCCCAAGTAGCTAAGACTACAGGTGAGCACCCCCACTCTCAGTTAATTTTAGGAGATGGGGGTCTCAATATGTTGCCCAGACTGGTCTCAAGCTCTTGGCCTTAAGCAATCCTCCTGCCTCAGCCTACTAAAGCACTGGGATTACAAGCATGAGCCATTGCACCTGGCCTTCTCCTTTATTTTATTTTATTTTTTTAGTTGGAGTCTCACTCTGTCACCCAGGCTGGAATGCAGTGGCACACTCACAGCCACCCAAGCATCGACCTCCTGGGCTCCAGTGATCCTTTCGCCTCAGTCTTCCAAGAAGCTGGAACCATAGGTATGCGCTACCATGCCCAGCTAATTTTTTATTCACTGTAGAGATGAGGTCTTGCCAAGTTGCCCAGGCTGGTCTCGAATCTGCAGGCTCAGGCAACATTGGCCTCGGCCTCCCAAAGTGCTAGGATGACAGGCTGAGCCGCTGAGCCTGGCCTATCTTTTTGATTGAAATTAATTAGAGGACAGTAACCCGAATTAGTAAAGGTATCTTTTTTACAATGATGACAACTCACCTAACACATGTGTGTGTTTCCTTGGGGATTATAGATGTGCATTCTCTATACTACCCATCTCTCAGCATTGTCATAGAAATAAAAATTACCATGATAAAAGGAAGTTATGATGCTCACAAAAATCCTTCTACTTCAAAAGAAAGCAACTCTATCAAAGGACAAGTTTTTAAGTCATCACCTAGAGCTATGAACTTTCAATTATAATATAAGGAAATCCATAAAACAACCAGACAATGCCAGAGAACTATCAAATAGAGATTGACAGACACCAGACTGCGTGAGATAGAAGAGCAACCTGAAGAAAAATGGAAGGAAAAAAAAAAAAACCACCTCTGGCTGAAGCTAAGAAGTTGAAATGACGTCAACTGAGCATTGTCCCCTTGAAGTTATCTTGCTGCAGTTTCCGTTCTAACCTCTGAGCACAACCTACTTCCCAGGTTCCTGTGGGAACTTGAGAAATGAGGAGGAAGAGGTAAGAGGACAAGAGAAACTTGCGACTACAAATCAAAGCAATTGGAGAGGCAGGAGAAAGGGGAAGAGAGCCGAGGGAGGAGGCCGATGGCCTAAAGATAGAACCGTGACAGTGGCAAAGGCATGACTTTGCCCTTCCTGAGACAAATGGACACCTTCTTTTAGTCGTGAGGACAAGGCAAACCGGCAGTCAGTCTTAAGGAGCAAGAAGAGGGGAGGATCCAGAAACCACTCTTGGCCATAAGTGTCTAGGACTGAATGCTCAATGACTTGGAAATATGTTTCAAAAATGCCAGGTATGGAAGATAGCAGATAACGTTATAATTCTTTTGAAATTATAGAAATGTGTTACTGAAAAATCTAAGAGGGACAAATGAAAAACAGGTGAGGGACGGCACTGATATTGTTAGCTGCTAAATAAGTGAAAAAAACCAATGGTTTTCTCATGTCTCAAAATGTTAAAAATCCAAAAAAAGAGATAAAATCATCATAATAGCAAATATGATTAAATAAATAATAATTAATTTACCGAGAACTGCTTAGAAACATAAAGGACAATTTGAATAGAAAGAGAGCTAGAATTTTGACTTATAAGAACACTGAACTTTTAAACTCAGGTGGTGATATGTAAATTCAATCAGATTCCCAGAACATCCTAAAAAGATGTGGAGAAAACTTGAAATAATTATTCTAAAGATTACCTAAAAGACTATTTCTGTGAAATTCACCAGAAAAAAAAAATTAACAAAGAAGTGAGACGCTATTAAAAGTGCTAAGGACAAAGAAATAAGTTATAATTCCTGCCCTATGGAGCATACAGATGAAGGTACAAGAACATAAGTAAGTGCATTAATGTGTTTCATAGCAGCTGTGAAAGAAGTCAGGGGGCCAGGCTCTATTACTAAGGGGAAGGGATACTTGAATCCTAAAGAAGAGTGAGTGTTTGCTGAGAGTTAAGGGGACAAATGTGACGGGTGTATATTCCTTACAGAGGAATGGCTTAAGGACCTGGCATCAAAGTTCCCCATAACTACAAATAGTTCAGTATAGCTGGAAAAAGAGGGTGTGTGTGTGTGTGTGTGTGTGTGTGTGTGTGTAGGGGGGTCATAAGAAACAGAACTGCAGAGAAAAGCAGGGTCCCATTCATGAAGGAACTCGAGGATCAAACTAAGCAACCTGGCCTTTATTCAGTAGGCCAGTCTTTCCAAAACCATATTCCATGGACTATTAAGGGTCTTTAAAAAAAAAAACAAAATCTGGTCAATGTCCTAAACATTTTTTTTCACTCATTTTTGTCACTTGTCATGCTTATAAGATTACTAAAGGCTCTGAGAGGACCTGCAAGAAAAAATACTTATTTGACCTTTAATCAATATTTTCATAGAATGTAATTTCTATGGAACACCTATGGAATTACAGTTGGAAAATACGAGTATAAGCAATGGCGAAAAATTAAAATTGTTTTAAGCAAGTCACTGAATACCATAAAAAACTAATCTGGGTGCTTTTTAAGTGCCCTAGGCAAGGCTGGGTCATGATAGACAATACCAAAATCAATGGGTTCAGAGCCAAAGGCTACACCCTCATTTCTGTTGAAATGACCTGATAGGAGACTCTGCAGGCATGGACCGAAAATCTCTTTTGGAAGTGAGGATGGAGATGATGTGGTCTAGCTCCAAAACACGTCTTTAGGACAATGGCAAGTTCAAGAAGCAGGACATCATCCATTTGCAGTGTGTCCACTATGTCTGGCCTTCCTCCAGCTATTCTTGGCAGTGGACAGGAGTGAGTCAGTAAAACCAAGAGCATAGGTTTTAATCAGAAAAGCCCCACTGAGTCCCAGTTTTCTCACTCACAAGGTAATAACCACTATTGTACAGGTTGTGGTACAGCATGGTTGATAACACAGATCAAGGGGGTGACATGACATGCTACTCAATCAATGGATTATCTTATTCTTTTAATCATTTTTTAAAATTTGGACCTGCAGTCCCAAGATTTTCTTACCTTCCTGTCTGAAAAATCTGCAGATCCTCAGAAAATGCGTGCTGCAAATCCTCTAACCCTTCCTCCTACACACTGCATGCAGACTTTAGGTCACAGGCTTGGAAACCAGGGTGGGGCACAGGAAGGGTGGGTTTCCCATCCGGACAAGGCCCACATCTCCCCTGCCATTGACTCAGATACTTAAGGCTGGGGCTTAAGAAAAGACAAAAGTAAATACATGAGAGGAACTTGAGGAGAGAGGAAGAGACTAATCATCAGAATAGCTCCAGAAAGGGAGGAAGGGAATACTTATGAATGAGAATGGAGTAGGGGGCCATGGGAAAAGAATTCCTTTGGGAAGCAGTCACACGTGGAATTAGAGTAAGCAGACGGGAGCATATACCCCATATTTATCAGTAACTAATACATGGCAGAACGCCTCAAGGTGAGGATTGACCCTGGTGTTAGCAGCTGGTGCTTTTGAGGAAAGCAGTGCATACTGATTCCAGTCCTGGCTCTGTCACTTCCTAGGTATGTGGTCACTTCACTTCTCTAAGCTTCAGTCTCCCCATCTATAAAATAAGTAGAACAGTATCTCCTTCTCTGGGTTGCCAGGATCAAAGGAGACAACAGAAAGAGAACCTTGTCTGGCACTCGATACCTTTCAGAAATCTAGGTTACTCTTTCGCCTTGGTAAATGAATTTACTTAACGACTAAGGTGATTATTTCACCAAACCAAGTACATTACTAAAGCATGAGATTGTACAAAAACCTTCCGCCTAGAGCTACATCTGATTTGAGGAGTGAGCTGCTGGTTTTGAGGTTAAAGGATCCAGTAACCCACTCCGGCCCACACCAATCTCACTGCTAAATGAACTGACTTCACCAAACCCAGTTTACGGGAGCCACTTCATACCAGAGTGGGCCTTCCTAGGCCAGTGAGTTTGTTCGGGAGCCTGGGGACGCTTTGTAACTCAGGAGGCTCCATTCATTCCCACTCCACAGGGGGCAGGTACACCTTATTCAAGAGAAGAAGTCAATCCCTGCTGACCACATGATGCCATGCCCCTATCCTAGACCTAAACAGACTTTCCTAGAATCAGAATGCCTGCAGGGACTTCAGCAAAGTCTTAGGTGCCAGAAAAGGGTAAGCAGAACTGGATGGAAGCAGAAAGCCTGAATCTCCTTGACCTTTCCTAGTCTGCTGCTGACATTCTGTCTTATCTGCTTTCACTTCCCCATCTCAGGCGGAAGTGTCAGCTGTCAGAATCTACTTCCCAAGCATCACTGTGACACTGCAGAAAGCATTTGAGTTGCAATCAGAGCAACTAGATTGCAATCTTTTACCTGCTACATACCAGTTGTATGGCCCTGGACAAGTCATTCTGCTTCTCTGAATTTGTTTTCTCATATATAACATAAGGAAATTTGTTTATTTCATATTTTATTGATTTGAGTCAGAATCTCACTCTGTCATCCAGGCTGGAGTGCAGTGGCATGACCACAGCTCACTGCAGCCTTGACCTCCTTGGCTCAGGAGATCCTTCCGCCTCAGCCTCCCGAGTAGCTGGG